CCGATGGAAACGGAACAAATACTAAATGTTAAGTGAAGCTTACCACAATAAATTGGTGAAAACCGCACCCAAATCGGTTAAGCCGTTTCTGAGATAAGCGCACATAAACGCACAGACAAACAGATAAACGGACAAAATTTTTAAAAATCATTGTTTTGTGTTCTATTGCGTTAATAAAGACCCCCAATAATCGTTTTTCTCAAATATCATCCAAGTACAGACAGCCATCAGTTACAATTGTATTATATAGGTATATAGATATAAACCTATGAAATCGGGGTCAATTACAGTTTAAACACTAGAACTCCTACGAGTTTGTCGAATCTTAGATTTCGATTCTTGTCATGTAAGTATTAATTTTGTTTTAAAATACTCCTTAAACATAATGTTTAAAGTAACTTTTAATTCGTACTTTTTTATGTTATTTAGTTCGCCTATTTCATCCTTAATATCAAGATGCCACTACAATCTGTACGCCGCGGTCCAAATGTCTCGAATTTAAATGAAATATCATATACCCCGCAAAGATCTTTGCTTCCTTTGGGAAGCTTACATTATACATATCATACTCGAGTCGTCTCAGATTTTGGTATAAAAGCAAGGCGAGTGAATCCAGTGGGATTTCTCCTGTATGTACTCGTAATACGTAACATTTGCTCGCCGCTGCCAAATCGAACCGGCTTCTTTTAGAATATTTAGGTATAAACATTTTCAAATTTTTCGTACTTTCATATTTTGTAACTCTGATTTTTTCAACGTTTGCTTCAATTTCTAGATAGTGATTGCTTTAGATAATGTAATGGGCCTAATGGCGTTTTTTTATTGTAAGGTTTTATTAAAAAAATAAGGCTTACTTATTAACTCTTTTATATTTTAACTAGCGACTCACCCTCGCTCCGCTCGGGTCCCTAATCACGTTTTAAGGTTTAGTATGAATTTCTCAGAGATGAGATGTTTTCTCACAGTAAAAAGTATCCTATATGTTGTTGACCCGGATAGCCAAATTTCATCAAAATCCCTCCAGTGAGTTTTCCGTGATGTGGTCACAAACAGACAGACAAAAATTCTGAAAATTATAGATTCGGTCTCTGTATCCATAATAATTACTATTTCAATAAGATTTTCCAAAAGATATTTTATGAAGGTACAGATTCGACTCAGAATTTTAATATGTATAGATTAAACAGCCAATTAAGTTTTAGAGAATCTTCATAGTGTTGTACTCGTATTGCGCAAGTCTCAGGGTAAAATATGTTGCCCATGTCACGTTTGACATTGTTTAACTAGTTATTTTCATATGACATTGAATACCTAGGTATTTACTCAGAAAATAATACTAAGTCGTTGAAAAGTATTGTACGTATATTTACTGCGCCCTTCGAAGATTTCTGTTAGATTGAAATTATTTTTATTTTTTGTTAATGTGTATGATCTGATCATATTATGAGCATCTAAAATGAAATTTTAAAAATGTCATCATTTCTCAGTTTCCGTATTAGACAGTAATATTGTGTATTAATACTGTAGCAATCTAAATTAATATTTTACACTAGCGACTCACCTTCGCTTCGCTCGTGTGCGTATCAATTTTTTTTTTGGCGGAACCCTAATCCTTTTTCTAAAATTGAAGTAGCCTAAATTGCTATTTATAACATCATCTATCTGCACCTGGGAGATAAAATGTAGTTTTATCAAAAATGTTAAATATTCGCGTAAATCAAAGAAACTACCTATTACTAAAACTTATTTTTTGTAAATAAGAATAGTGAATGATAATAATTCAGGCAAATTGAGCACACCTACTCATTTTAAAATGATATTTATAGCTTATGTAAATCACATCGCACAAAATTATTTGTAGGAATATTCCCTTATTAGATCTATATTTAGTTGTTTGTTTTCCTTGTTAGAAGATATCCGAAACTCAACATTTCGGTAGAAAAGGAGAGGGAAAACACAAAGTAGTTGGCGAAAGTCTCCGATTTCCTGTTGGTGAGCTACGCTTTATTCGTAATGGCTTTTTCCACAACAAATTTAAAGTTAAATATCTACAAGATAGAATTCAGATTAGAATAAAAAAAAGCTTTAAATAAGTTTAATTAATATGTATACTAGTTTCTATAATTAAGTAACTTATCAATAAACATTTCTTTTATTATACAGTGTATTACGATTAGTTTTAAATGCTTCATACAATATACATGTATATACAACGAATATTTTGATGAAATCGTTTTCTGACGACACGTTTTTTTGAGTGTGTAGTGACCCTACTTGCTGTACTAGCGGTCGCGGGTTCGATTCCCGCTGTGATCATTGATTCGTGATGAACACTAATGTACGTACTCCAGTCATGGGTGTTTATATGTATAATATGTATGTATTTAAAGTTATATATATGTGTAGTGTATCAACTATCTGATATCCATAACACAAGCCACATAACTTACCATGGAACTAGATGGTGCTGTGTGTTAATGTCCCAAAAAAACATCGTTTCTATTATCGCGTGGAGCGTTCCAGAAGTTTCAAATGCACTTACTATCCCTTTGTTTGATTCTCTTCCAACATTTATTGGTACACGGTGCAAGTTATTGGAGGAGCTGCGTCAACACTGCTGTTCACACTTAATTTAATTTTATTGTTTTCGTAATTCTGTTTTCCTAGAGTCGTTTGGATGACTACCGTTCGCCTCTGAAAGGAAAAAACTATAAAGTTGGTTTGAAACGTTTATTTGACGGTGCTTAGAAAGTTTTGTTTTAAACATTTGTTAAACTGAAAAAATTTGAGTCAATGTAAAATTTTCGAATAGGTTTTAAGTAATATATAAGGTTATGCGATAGATATGACTTAACTTATATATATATATATATATATATATATATATATATATATATATATATATTATAATATGATATAGTTTGAAATTATATGTTAATTACGGATGTACAACATTTTTATTGTAACTATATAATACAATATTTGTATTACTAAAGACAAAAAAGTTAATTAAATTCTGAAGGAAGGGCGTGAAAAATTTACAGTCGGTCATTGAGGACAGCTCGGCGGCACATTGAAAAACTTGTCGGTCGGTCTTGCTGCTTAATTTTTATGAACGTTCTACATTTCCTGTGTTTGTGTTCAATGTTACCAAAATGGGGCTACAACATTCGACGGCTAAATATGGAAGTGTCGAAATAATGGCGTCAAATATCAATGAATTTATGTATCCAACTAGCATTTCCCGCGGCTCCGCACGCGTTCAGATGACCGAAAACCAAATTCTTAGGCTTTACATGTTAGTATACTCTTACATTGTATTTTTGTATTTTATCTCAGAAATGAGATATTTTCCTGCGGTAAAAAGTATCCTACATGTTGACCCAGATAACCAGCTATGACCATATCAAATTTCATCAAAATCCTTCCAGAAGCTTTTTTGTGATGCGGTAACAGACAGACAGACAGACAAAAATTCTAAAAACTATAGATTCGGCCTCAGTATTGATAATAATGTCTATTTCAATAAGATTTTCCAAAAAATATTTAATGTACAGATTCGACTCAGTTAGAACTTTATTATATGTATAGATGACGTTCAAAGTCAATTAGAATTTTACAATACGTTCTAAGAGCTTTGTTTACTTTTAAATATATATATATATATATATATATATATATATATATAGCTTTGGCTTCTCTGATAATTTTGTAAAGAAATATCCAGTGGACATTTTGGTAAACAAAGTAATTTTAAAAGAATTTAACATTTCAGTAGTTGTAATAAATTCGATTTATGTAGGTACCGTTGCGAAGTAAAACTCAATTTTTCAAGTTCCCAAACTGGATTTGTTCGTGACTTCGATCTGCTTGATTGGGAATATATTAAAGTACCGGTACAATGGATTAACCATAATAAATTCGTTTTAACTGAATCTGTATTAATGACGATTTGTTTTATTTATATAATTACTTTTTTAATATGTAATCATATTTTTAACTAGATGGATACGTTTTAACGCTTAGTATAGATTTCTCAGAGATGAGATATTTTTTCGGAATTAGTGTCCTATGTATTGACCTGAAAAACCAGCTATCATCATACTAAATTTCATCAAAATCTGTTTAGTGGTATTCTCGTGAAACGTCCCCAGACAGACAAATAATCTATTAACTATAGATTCCGCCTCTGTATCGATAATAATGACTATTTCAATGAAATGTTCCAAAAATATATTATGTACAGATTCGACTCAGTTACAATTTAATTATATGTAGGTATCGATGTTACAATCGAATATTAAGTTGCAAACGCTGGTGGTCGTATATATATTTATTTGCATTTTGATCTCCAAAAGTTGCAAGTTCCTTTCATTATATATGCAAATGTGACTTGTATTAAAATTTGCATATATTTTTGGCCATTCATTGTAATTCTTACCCGAATAAAATGAAGTCCACGTTGAGCGTCTGTACGTATGTGAGCATTAATTTCGAAATTTGCTAAGCGAATTTTGATGTGGTTTTTTTCTATTATGATCAGCATTTATATAGGCAAAATGCAGACTGCATTTAATATTGCTCCAGCACTCATAAGGGTTGAACATTTACCGTATACCTAAGTGAATTGTGTTGGCAGTGAGTGCAGTGATTGGTTGCTTTACAAGTGGCCATATACCCAATATCCCGTATACTCAAGTACCCAATCTATAAGTGAGTATAATGTATCCCAAATAAGTCGAGCTTTGATAGATCCACAAAAAAGTTTGCAATAACTTATAGATATAAAATGGTTTTTATGTTTAAATAGATAAACTTGTTATTATGTTTAAAAAGTTTTTTTTTTACTTAGTAAAATAATATCTAGCATGCTTTTTATCATTACAAAATCTTCATACTCATTTTATCACCACAAGTACATAATAAAAAAAAAACCCTTCACAGTATCTTATTTAGTTAAATGATTAATCATCATCATGAAAAATTAAATAAATCTCGATATGCACAATAAGTTGTATACAGCGTAAGCGAACCCAGGTGATATAAAATGTATGACTTAGGTCATTAGTAGTTAGCAGAATATTTTAATTTTCTCATATTCTCATTGGATTCCATTTTTTCTAAATTTTTTTTTTGGTCAAACGACCGAAATTCCTTTATTTCTCTGTTCAAAAATAACTTCTACGACACGAAGGTTAGCTATTTCGGGTGATTTATTTGTATGCGTTTATTTAGGGAAGTGTTATGGGGACTATTCACCTTTGCACGTGAATGCGTGCTTTAAGTGCTATATCGTTTCTGCGTCAATGCACTATGTTTGTGCAATTTATAACCAATACATTAACCTCAAGTCTCAACTTCTATACATATAATAAAATTCCAAGTCGAATCTGTACATTAAATATTTTTTGGAAAATCTTATCGAAATAGATATTATTATCTATAAAAAGGCCAAATCTATAGTTTTTATAATTTTTGTCTGTCTGTCTATTTGTCTGTTACCACATCACAGAAAAACTATTGGAGGGATATTGATGAAATTTGGTCTGGTGGTAGCTTAGGTTAGCCGGGTCAACATATAGAATACTTTTTACCGCGGGAAAATATCTCATTTCTGAGAAAAAATACAAAAACTGCAACGTAAGAATATACTCATATGTAAAACCTAAGAATATGGATTTTGGTCATCTGAACGCGGGCGGAGCCGCTGGCAATGCTAGTTTAAGTATATAATAAAATATCATATTTCAAAATTTACGTTTTTTTTGTTCCCAGGGCAGTAACAGATCCGCGCGATGGCCGCCGCGTGGCCCTCAAGAAGCTGCCCAACGTGTTCCAGTCGCTCGTCTCCTCTAAACGCGTCTTCCGCGAGCTCAAGATGCTCTGCTTCTTTAAACATGAAAATGTAAGTAATTAGTAATACATTGTTATAGCATACACATTATATTTATTAGAAATTACTAATTTATTTTAAATAAAACTATCTTTTTGGGTTTTTTCACCGATTTCTTTTGATTTTTGGTTCCCGACGTTGCGAATGCTTTGCAGCAATCGTGGTGACGGGAGAGACCACCGAAAATCAAAATAAATCCGCGAAAAAATCTGAAAAGATAGTTTTATTTAAAATGTCAAATATTCGTTTTTTATTATTAGTTTATGTTTAAGCTAAAATTTGATATGATATAAATAGATATGAAAACTCATTGATAATGTAGTAATGACGACATAGAAGGTCATCGACTAGCTTATAAATAAAAGCTTCTATTTAAAAATACTTTTTAAGTTTATTTATTTGGTCGGTCTCTAAGTAGGTTTTCCCAAGCAGGATATTTTGAGACAACATATAGAAACAAATTTTTACTTGGCTGTGTTCTTTGTTATCCTTATCTTGTATCTACGCAATATATTATTGATATTTTATCCTTAACTAGACTTTAATGTCTTGTTAAATACATTTCTATGAAATGTTTACTGCCTTAGCTCCTCTCGTATTAAGTTATACTTTTATATTTCACGTACAACTTGGAAATAATATTTGAATACTAAATTGTAATTTATGATACTACCCTATAGTTGGCTTTTTAAATAACGCACTGCAAGGTATTTAGGTTCTTAATTATTGGATAAAACACGTTTCCGAGTTATGTAAGTAAATACAAGCAATTCATCAATGGAGAAAAAAAGGCTAAATTTTATTAATTTTATTGATAACTAGCATTGCCTGCGGCTCCGCCTGCGTTCAGGTGACCAAAAACCAAATTCTTAAGTTTTACATATTAGTATACTCTTACATTGCAGTTTTTATATTTTTCTCAGAAATTAGATATTTTCCCGCAGTAAAAAGTATACTATATGTTGACTCGGATATCCAGCTACCATCATATCAAATTTGATCAAAATCCCTCCCGTGGTTTTTCCGTGATGCGGTAACAGACAGACAGACAAAGATTCTAAAAACTATAAATTCGGCAGCTGTATCGATTATAATGTCTATTTCAATAAGATTTTCCAAAAAATATTTAATGTACAGATTCGGCTCAGTTAGAATTTTATTATATGTATAGATAGTGATAATTAAATGTACTCAATGAATTTGGCATTATATTACATTTAATTTGGCATGTTATATCGTATAATTACAATGCGACACGTTCATAATTTATTCATTTTCTCTGTGTATTTTATCGATCAACGTGTATTGTTTGCGGGCGAGTATTTGTCGCCTTGTTTAAACAGGATTCGCATTGAAACGTGAAAATTGGATCGTACGGTGGGATTGGTGCGATATACCAGAGAATTGCCGATGCTTGTTTTCGTATGACACATTAAATCGATTTTTATCCTAATTACTCCCACATATTTTCTATCTATATCTGTATTATCATAAATCAATCAAGTTATTTCGATAGTACAACTTGTTATTGTTACTTTACTAATTTTTTTTGGGTTTTATCCAACAACGAGGGTTTCAATATAAGGTATAACTTGTTTATCTTTTCCAGGTATTGTCGGCGTTAGACATCCTCCAGCCGCCGAGCCTCGATTTTTTCCAAGAAATGTATCCTTTTGCAATAAAAAAAAAAAACATTTATAATAATTATAGATATTCTATTTAGGTTGTGAATTCTTGAAATTACTTAAATTATAACTCTGTAAAGCTGTAAGAGTTATTTATATATTTAGTAATTTAAGCTGCTTATCTTAAATATTTTAAAGTTTTAATTATAGTTTAAAATAATCCCAAATCGACTAAATTTAATCACATTACGAACTAGATATAGCTACTGTTAATGCACCGATATGTAGAGTCGTTGACACGACGCCAAGGACGAGCGGACGAAATGCGATCGAATTTTAGTTCGGGGACATTCGCCCTTCGTCTCGTTTTACTTCTTTGTTCGACGCCCTCGCCTGGGGGAATGAGAAGTTTGTGCCTTTAGATCGGGGGCATTCAAAGTTAACATCCAAGGCTTATATTGGTCGTTAAAGAACTAAATGTGGTTAATTTTAGTGTGTTAACTTCGCCTTTATAATGTAGAAACCAAATGCCAAAATTAACACAGGCTAATATTTTAAAGGCATTGAGTTTTATAGCGTCCTTAAGTAAATAGTAAGTAATCGTGTTAGTTACAACCAATTACTGATAATTTACGCCTATTAGTTTGTTTAGTAACACAGAACATAAACTCTTGTTTTAAAGTAATAAGCAAAGTATTTAGACTAAAAATTATATAGATGGAGGCCGCCTAAAAAATGTCAAAGTCAAAAATAGTAGCGTGATTTTCTGTTTATTTTTTTAAAGAATAAGGGAATTTAAATATAGGTTTTAGTCGTTAATGTACAATTTTTGAGAAGAAAATATGAACAAAAAAATAATACTATATTCTTTTGTTTTTTTTTTTTAAGCATTAGTTCTCTTTCCTTTGCTAATGAGAATGCATAATAATTTTTTTGGCTTTATTATAATAATATCCGTCTGCATTTTTTATTGATCAAAGTAATGAACATTCTATTAAATTTATATTCTGTGTTTAAAATATATATACATATAATATTAATTTAAAATATTGTTTGGCTTCACGTTTAATTTTATCTATATTACTCACTGTATATGTACACTCTGTCTATATTACAAGTATTACTTAGTCTGAGGCATAGTAATAGTAAAAGTCATAGATTTTTCACAGTAATATCGTAAATGCGAGTTTGTGAATGTGATTATGTATGTCTGTTAACTTTACGACGCTTTTGGTTTAAAGGATTTGAGTAAAGTTGAGAATTGGCAACTGATATTTTGAATAAAACAGTCTCTACTGTTCTCTAAACGTGTAAAAATAATATACGTATTATAATATAACGTTCTATGATGAATACAGAAATATTTAGAACACTAGCATTGCTCGCGGCGCCGCCCGCGTTCAGATGACCAAAAACCAAATTCTTAGGTTTTACATATTAGTATAGGTACTCTTACGTTGCAGTCTTAGTATTTTTTCTTTGAAATGAGACATTTTTCGCGGTAAAAAGTATTCTATATGTTGACCCAGATAACCAGCTATCACCATACCAAATTTCATCAAAATCCCTTATGGTTTTTCTGTGATGCGGTAACAGACAGACAGACAAAAATTCTAAAAACTATTGGATTCGGCCTCTGTATCGATAATAATGTTTATTTTAATAAGATTTTCCAAAAAATATTTAATGTACAGATTCGGCTCAGTTACAATTTTATTATATGTATAGAACATTAGAATCAAGCTCTTATACCTTATTCGTAACTTATTTTTTATTTTGCTCGGTCACGGATGCCGTTTATATAAAAGCATTCTCATGACGATCTTTATCTTTCAGCGTGAATCTTCTAAGGTCACTTTGAACGGAAGTTTCAAGATATTATTCTGTTTTAAATTGAGATTCAGGTTCAATTAGGATGGGAAAGTTTTTTTTTTGTTATATGATAATATCAAAATATTTGAAGATGAAATGTTTAGATACGTTTGAAATAATTACTTTTTATAGCTATCGTGGAATATAAGTTTCCGTAACTTGAAACATACATAAATATTGTCGGTTTTTTTATATTATCTATATTTTGGCTATGTTTGATAAAAGGGTATGATTTTTTTTATATCTATTATTTTATATCGTCTACGAATCGGTACGCCACATCTGTTACTATTAAAATAAACATTTTCATATGAATGAGGACAATGTCGCCATATACACGGTTTGTGATTTATTGTTTCATTTTGAAATTTCTAAATATTGTGAAATAACTCATCTATTTTATTATAGGCATGTGTCCGCTCCCCCATGCTTAAACGTGTTTCCAATGAAAGCATCTAAAATGCCGAAAGGCAAATAATAAATTAAAATAAGCCCAATATGACGTTTGTTTGTTTTGAAGTAGATTGACAAAATTCAAATCGTAAATATTATTCAATCGCTGATCGTTTAATTTATTATTTACTAGAGATTCATCCCAAGGTGAGTTTCAACAGTTAGTATGGAATAGATACTGTATATTTCTACTATATAGTTCTGAACTTTTCGATTTTCTAGCTTTTTTTTTTGGATTTTCCCAATTTTTTATACTTAAATCACCCCCAACACACCCAAAAAAATCAAAAAAACAATTATTCAAATCCGTCCAGCTGTTCTTGAGTTTTAGTGAGACTAACAAACACACATCTAAACTAACATTAACACATCTACACTAATATTATAAAGATCAATTTCAATGTGCAATAGATCGATGTTTTTCTTACGTCGTTACTTTATTTTTAAGTCAGATCTCATTCTCAAAATATTATTATCCTATTGAAAGAAAAATAACCAAAGGACGCGCGGTGTGTAGTTACGTGTAAATAGACGTGGGCGAGGCGAGTGCGGGTCGATAGTCGATAACAATAATTTCATATCATCAATGACTAGCGACTCACTCTCGCTTCGCTCGGCTTCGTCCCTAGGTACGTTTTAATTTTTTTGCACGTAACCCCAATTCTTTTTCTAAAATAAAAGTAGCCTATGTTACTTCCTATAACATCAGCTATCTTCTAGTGAAAGTCCCGCCAAAATCAGTCCAGCCCTTTCAGAGATTATCAGGAACAAACATACAGATAATTTAAAAAAAACTTATAAGTACCGTATACAATTTCATATGCATTATTTAGTATAACGCTGTCATTTTGACATTACACTTCAATTTTATTTATCTGTATAGATTATTATTTGATTATGGTAGCCAGCACTGAAGTAGTTCAGTAATTACAATTTGTTAAATAACTATTATTATATACTATCTATACCAACATTTTCCCTTGTTATTGTAAAGCGAATGCAATTAATACAATTATCTCAGTATTATATTTGCCATCGGCGCGTAGTAGGCGTCAGCTGGCGTACAAAATAACGTCCCTACATTTTGTTCCCCTTCCAAGTTTTATTGAAATTTGGGACCTCTGCCACTCGAACCACTTAGTGTAGCTCCATCCTTCTCGATATAAAAGGATCTTAATAATAAATTGAAACAAATGTCTGTATTACCATGAGAGTTTACGAATACTATATTATGTAGGTAATTATTACTTTTATTTGTATTACTAGCGGCTCACCCTCGCTTCGCTCGGGTTCGTCACTAGGTACGTTTTAAGCCAGCGTTAGCCATATATATATATATAGTTAATTTTCTGATGTTTTAATACTTATTATCCTATCCGGACTAGGAGAAACCCAAAAAATCGAATATTATAAAAATTGGTCCAGCCGTTCTTGAGTTATAAATGGTGTAACTAACACGACTTTGTTTTACATTTATATATATATATATATATATATATATATATATATATATATATAAATGTAACCTAACCTAACCTAACCTACTCACACTGAACATTCCTAAAACAAATTATATATGCTTTAGCATATGTAAACGTAAACAACCTAGAGAAGATTTCAATATAAAAATACATCTGTGTAATAATGATAAAGGCACTACCTGCAGTTGCTTAAATATAACGAGGGTTCCATGTGCTAAGTATTTGGGTGTTTTCATTGACCAGAGATTATCTTGGCATTCTCAAATTGATCATGTGGCAAACAGAGTCAGAAAATTGAGCTGGATGTTTCGGTCCCTAAGACACATAGTCCCTAAACAAGTTTTTAGCAGCTCATCTCGCCCCAGGAATCTCTTGAATGAAATATATTTTGCCTTAGTACAATCAGTGCTATCATATTGTATCCCGATTTGGGGCGGAGCTGCTAAAACGAAGTTTATTGAACTTGAGAGAGCACAACGTGCTCTAATAAAATGTATGTACTTTAAAAAACTTACATTTCCAACTGAGAATCTGTACCAAGTTAGCAAACTGCTCTCAGTTAGAAAGCTGTATATTACTCAAACTATACTAAAAGTACATAAGGCTGTTTTCTATGATGCGTCTTTAACATTAAAAAGAAGGAAAGAAAATATAATTAAAATCCCACAAACAAGAACAACATTTGCGTCAATGCAATTCGATAAAAGATCTGCACAATTATATAATAAAATTAACAGTATAATTTATGTTTACCCCTACAATTACCATAAATGCAAAAAGACATTAATAGATTGGATAAAAACCCTTAGTTACAATGATACGGAAAAACTGTTAGAACATATTCATTAAATACTCACACACGCACACACACACACACACACACACACACACACACACACGCGCGCGCACGCACATACACACACGCACACTCACACACAATACACAAACAAATATATGTACGCTAATTTTTAATTTTTATTTTTATTTTTATTTTTTATTTTTTTGTTTGTCTTAATTGATCTATTTAAGTTTGTAGTATCACCCATAATATTATAATCAGCTAAAAGATAAAATTACTTTTTTATGAAAGGGCGGGGTCTCCTAATACAGGCAAATTATTTGCTTAAAAGGGGATCTCAACCACAAAATTTGAAATTTTGATTAGATTTGAAATAAATAAATAAATAAATTTTAAATTAATCAATTAATTATATGTAAATTTTTATTTCAAATG